TACCGAGGGTCATGGCTCCCACGACGAAGCCTTGGGCTGCTACTCGCATGTGGATGAGGTGAACAGACATTTTTGTGTTTCCTCTACTCTTCAGCTTGTATAAGCCGTACGCCACAATGGCTGCAAACCCTGCCATTCCTACAAAACAGAGGTGTTTTAGAGCCCGGGGTTAGGGAGTGAGGATGGGGAACAAGATGGCTGCACCACTCATCAATGGTGACACTCACGCCTGTCATCCCAGCTACTCGGGAGGCTGAGATCTGAGGATAGTGGTTCAAAGCCAGCCTGGGTCCTTAAGTCTGTATGCCTCACCTGATACCTGAGAAACCCAGTATGCCCTGTGCATCTTTATTGGAGAACACTTGTACAGGGCGCTGTTCCTGAGCTCTTCAGCTCAAAGACAGTGCTCTATCACTTGAGCCACAGCGCCACTTCTGGTTTTCTGCTGGTTCATTGGAGATAAGAGTCTTCTGGGGACTTTTCTGCCCAGGCTGGCTTCAAACTGTGATCCTCAGAGCTCAGCCTCCTAAGTAGCTACAGCCGTGAGCCATCAGTGCCCGGCTGGGCTTTTGTTTCTCTGATCTCATGTTTATAGCTGATTATTAAACCGTCAAAATCAAACTTACCAATAGGGACAAAGGGTGCTTCTTTAGCTTTCCGCACAAGCTTAGAGCCCTGGCCTTCATCATATGAAGAGAGAGATACATCTGTGTCGGTCGACATTGTGATTGCTTGAAGAATCTTCTGGAAAGAGAATTACTTCGAGATCATGTACTGTGGAACATATCTAGGTGGTTATTAAATACTTCGATGAATATAAAACATTCCCGATTTCCATGAAATGTGGTATATATTACTAGCCTTCACCTTGAAAACAAATTTTAAAACATTTTTTGGCGCTGCTCCTGGGGTTTGAACCCTCTTAGGGATTTGGCATTGTCCCAGAGCTTTTTTTTTTTTGGCTCAAGGTTAGCAGTTTACCACTTGAGCCATGGCTCCACTTCCATTTTTTGGTGGCTCATTGGAAATAAGAATCTCATGGACTTTTCTGCCCCGGCTGGCTTAGTTTTTTTTTTTTTTGGGTTCAGTTGTGGGGCCTGAACTCTGGGCCTGGGCGCTGTCCCTCAGCTCTTCAGCTCAAGGCTAG